ATCCAGCCAAAAGCTATCTGTTAGTGAACACCACAATGCCTTGTACACGTCACTCTGAATAATCTAGACAACGAGTTACAAGTTAAAAACTTAGAACACATTAGCTTGTTCGCGACGAAATGGCCAAATGTTCAGAACCATGGCTAGCCCACTCATTTGCTGAAGAGTGCAAGTGGCCCAGTTCAGCCACAATAACCACCAACCCATCAGCTAAATGCCAATAGAGTTCTTCATTTCTCAGATTAGAAGGAATTAAAAACTATCTTTGAACAACTATATAAGCATATGCTCAACAACTTCCTAAGAAAATAAAAGAAAAAAGAAAAGGGTAAAAAAGGAAATCTGATTTTCTTGTAGATTGGTTTCAGAAAAACTAAAAATTCTACTGCCCAACAAAGTTGTAGTAAGCACAGTGCAGAATCTTGTACACTTCAAGTACCTTGTACTAACCATAATTTCAAAACCGTGAAGAGATACCGAAAGAACAAAATTCTTTCTTTTTGCTTCTCCTCCTTCTCTCTCTCTCTCCTTTATTTTTCTTTTCTTATGTTTGATTTTTCTAACTTAATCCATCAATAGCAAGGTCCTCTTGTGAAACGAAACCAAAAAAAACCCTAGAACTAAAAGAAAACATAGAAATCAATCTAATTGTACTAATAATGCGTTTAGCAAATTGAGATAGATGTGAAACCAACATAAAACTAAAACTAAAATTAAAGAAATTGACAACTTCAATCAACACAAACAAATGCACTTCAATACATTATCTTTGTCATTACCTAAAAACCTAAGAAAAGTAATAACCCCGCTCGAATGAGCAGGTCAGGTTTACTACTTTTTTTTTTTAAAGCTCGAGTTCAATTTTCAAAATCAAATAGTATCTTAAAATTGCAATTCCTTCTTCCATTTACTCATCATCCAAACAAACAACAAAATTAAGAATTCAATTAACTAATGCTATTTGCTTCTAGAAGGCTAAGTTGAGCTAGAAAATTTTAAATTCCCAATCCAAGTAATGGGAAACTTAAAAAGTTCAAATTCTTCCTTCGTTTCTCTTTACTACATTTACTCAACAACCAAATGGAGTATAATCAAAAACCCAAGAAGTACATAGAGAGAGGATAGAAACTAATGCTTCAATTTTCCCATAATCCAAATAGACAACAAAATTAAGAATTCAATTAACTAATGCTATCTACTTCTACTGCGCTAAGTTGAGTAAAACTTTTTACATTCCCAATTCAAGTAATGAAAAACCTAATAAATTCAAAATTTTCCTTCTCTTTACTAGATTTTCTTGGAAACCAAATGGAGTATAATCAAAAACCCAAAAAGCAAATAGAGTTAAGAATCCAATTAAAAAATCCTGTCTACTTCTAGGTGGCTGCTAAGTTAGGCAGAAACTTTAAAAATCCCAATCCAAGTAATGTGAAAGCGTAATAAATTCAAAATTCTTCATTTGAATTTTGATGTTTCTGCTTAACTAAAACATTCAACTTGGTCACTGGCTAGAATTGAAAAAGGTATCTGTTTAAAAGCTTAAAGAACTGATAGAAGTGTCTCACATGTAAAATAGTTCCAGACTAACATCCATGTAGAGGTAGTGCAATGACAGAAGGCTTCAGTGCATCTATAGCGATCCCGGTTGTCCCTTTACTGTTCTGTTGTATTCCGGACTCGGTTCCGTGAAGTTAGTAGTTGTATCTATCTTGTTGTCGTCCTTTAATTCCACTTGATTGAGTTTTAGGATGTTTTGGGCAGGGTTGTTACAGGTTGGTTAGGCCTTGGTTTCAATTCCTTGTTGCCTAGTTTTTAGGCGGTCCGCTCGAGCGGGTCTTCTTGCACTCGAGCGGGGATTGCACACTTCCAGTATTTCATGGCCCTGCAAAACTTCTGCAGGTGTGTTTTCTACACTCGAGCGGGTTGCTTGCACTCGAGCAGGTCGCGCTCGAGCAGTATTGTTGGTGCTCGAGCGGGTAGTCATTTTCCTGTAAAGTTCTGGGAGATGAAAATCTGCGCTCGAGCGGACTGGTTTTCACGCTCGAGCAGATGTGATTTGCTTTTGTTTCTTGGCGCTCGAGCGGTTATCTATGCGCTCGAGCGGGACCAAATGTTTGTGCTCTACGCTCGAGCGCTCTATTCTACGCTCGAGCGGGTCATGCGTATATGAGTTATCCGCTGGGTGATTTTAAATCACTTTTTACTTTTCTTTCTCTCTCCTACTTTTTCTAAAACCCTTTTTTGAGAGCCTCTCTCTCTAGAAACTCCCTTCTGTCTAGGGTTTGATCTAGTTAGAGTGTCTTCCTTCTCTTCGGCCTTTGTTAAAGTTGTGTTGATCGTCGAGGGCGGCGTTTTGATCCGAAAATCTTGGCTTTTGGAACACTTTGGTTTTGGTCTCTTCTCCATCCGAGCTCTAACTTCGAGGTAGGGATATCCTACTCCTCTTTATGAGCTTTGTCTTTAAATTTTAGCGAGGAGGAAGGAGATGATTCACAGGCAGTCTCTTAAAAAGATTGCTCTCTCAAAACCAAAACCAAAACCAATTTTTATTCATGATTTCTTTGTAAATTGTGAATGGGCATATATATATGATAATGGATGGTCCATTGTGCATATGATATCATGGAAATGAAAAGAATGAATAGGTGATTACCTTGAGAAGAGAGTACCAGTCTCTAATTTCTATACACAAAATGACCAAGTCCTTGAACATTGAATTAGACTAATCAGACACTTAGACACAAACTCAAACCAAACACCAGTACGTGAGTCTATATAAAAATAGTACAAGAGAGAATGGTATAGAGGATGTTTATGATACACACGTAACATACCACACAAGCTCCCACTTACACATGCTCGCACACCACACAAGTCCATACTGACACCGGTTTGCAGTCATCACCAGAACTTCATCATCCATTAAATTGGATAGGCAAACATGTAGTTCAGATTTCTAGAGTATATGTGACACCTGAACTTAATAAAATTACATAACCGAAAAACATGACCATATATGAACTTAAATTCATAATTTATTAGAGTACGAGTACAACAAAAACAGAATGGGCAGCAAACTGATTGCATGGGGTGACTTGTGACTGCAGCAAAAACATAACAGTACTCAACACTTAACAGCATTTTCCTATCACATGCATTGTTATTTTGTTTTTACCTATCGGACAACCACCACAACGCAATCGTCATGTAACATATTTAAATCGATTTTTGCACACACAGATTAGCTTCACAGCTATTGATGGTCACAATCTGTAAATATCTCTTTTACTAAGCAAAACATCAGAAATTAAATTGAACAGACCTTTGCAGTCACCGAGCCAACTCATGATACTTCGTGCAGCTTAAAACATCTCACCCAATGCAATCAAGGTGGTCTGCCATACAATGAATCACAGTTAACTTAAACCTTCCTTAATATATAGAGGGAAAAAAATTGTCAGGCTGAGAATGAGAAAAAACAGGTATCCCAACATTTATTACAAATTGCTAGTGTGACTTTGTCGACCACTGTGTCGCAATTATAGTTATTTTATTGGAAAAAAAAGCCAAAAACCAACAAAGTTAAAGATTTAATACAGCGGTATGTACTTATTTTTGCTGCATAACAAGATGCTGCAAACAACTCATCATCGTCTTCAATGGCACAACGGTCTTTTAGCCTCTTCTTGATTTGGTCATGGGCACCAATATAAGTCACACCATACACTGATGTCATCACCATTTGCTTAACCAATTTCCTATATACCTGAAGATTTCTAGTTGCAAACGTAGGAAATCAGTGATAGAACTGAATTAGGTTCAGGAAAAGTAATGAAATTTGGGAAGCACCTATCTGAATTAGCCAAATTCTTAAGAATGGTAGAGAATTATTGTGGCTTTAACAAGTTCAATGCATCTATTTTCAGTACGATATCTTATACATGAATTAAACACCATAAGAATTAAATGAACATGAGAAGCAATCGAACCTGATTAATTAAAAGCCTAGCACGCGATGCATTCGGATCAGTTGCGGGATCTTTTTTTGCATCTCTCCGCGTAATATCAAGAACTCTGCATCACAGCAAGAATATCAATAGTATTTACAGAGGAGATTTTCACAATTGTGATTCAAGAGGATGTCACTAGCCAAGGCATCCTTATCAGATCTGTCTAAGCACCTCCACGTAATACCACAATACAAATTTTCATTCATGAGCTCCACACAAGGACCATGAGGTAACTCCCTTGATCCATCTCCAAGCTAGTCATCCAGTGCACTTAGCACCTGAACAAAGACATGACCTCTATTCTTTTCTGTTTCCAGTTAGTAATTTGTTTTCAGAATCAGAGAAGAGACCATAAATGACATTGATCAAGGTATGTTCAGACTGGATCCAGACATTTCATTGTTATTGGGGATATTGATTTTCCAGAGTATTTTTTTTGTTTTATGTTTTATGTTATTTTGCATTCAGGATACTATTATCACATTCTATTGTTCTAACTATAAAATATGCTCTAAGGTGGAGGGTTTGACATACACCCAAACCTATTCATCGTATTCTCTTCTCTTCTTTATATCTATCTCTCTCTCTTCTAATCCCAACACTAATTTTTCACACTTTACACCCAACTTATATGTTCCTAGAGAATTTAATCAAGATGGTTCACCTCTAAAGTTTACAGAACTGAAAATTAGCAGCCTCCCAAATATTGGTTAAGGGAAGCTAGTAATGATGTACATGTCACTTATGAATTTCCTTCTTCCTTTATTAATAGATAATATATGTATACACACACACACCAACAAAAAGAGGGAAGAAAAAGAAACTAGAAAAGAAAACATATATATCATCTGAAGATAATTGTGTACCTAGCAGCAATTCCCGAGTAAACATCTGCAGGCTTCTCTCCTGCAACAAGATTGACCGCAGTTGCTCCTAACTGAACGAAAGTAATTTTTTTCACTACAATACAAGAACACGACTACCATGGCCAGAAGTGAACAACTTCATATGAGCTAAGCGATAGAGATTTTATTACCTTATCCCTCCCAAGGGCAGCGTAGTGTTGTAGGCCATTACATGAACCATCCTTGAAGAGGGAAAAATAGAGGGAAAAAATCTTAGATTAAAGCTTGGGCAATGGTGTGTATTCCAGAATTCAGTATAACAACAAAAAGAAAATGTAACTTGTATTTACGTATCAAAATGTTTAAAAATAAAAATAACAATAAAATTGTAGCATCTGCTTGATGTTTTCCCAATTTCACAAGTAGCGACATTATGTAACAAGAAAACCAGCGAAAATCTATTATCTCCATTACTTGTTGATGTCTTTAGTCTATGATCTGTCAACAGACAGGATGGGACACTCTGTCTCAACATAGACATAAAGCGTATTACATTGAAATTGTAATTGTAAATGTATTTTACAGCACATATGTACAAATTTGTCTGATTGGATGTATGTGTGGGTGTCATAAGCACATATACATGAGAGAGTAAATTAGTAAAACGACTTGCCTTCGATGATCAATCAATACGTATTTGGCCATGATATAACTATACAACATGTCATTGAGCATCACTAATCAGAAGCTTTAATATATTGAAGACTTGAAATTATAGTAGGAACTGTGACAAAAGCCAGAATAGATGCTTCTTTTTTCTGTTTTCTTTTTTAAATACTATTGATTCCCTCTCTGCAAGCACATTGCTCAGGGAATAAAAAACAGGATCTTTTGAAAATGTAATAAATTAATTTAAGAGCAACTTCAATTGATAACTTGGAAGCGAAGCTCAATAAAATTTATGTTCATTTCCTAGATCCAGCTGGCATAAAGTTATTCTTTTTTTTTTCTCTGTCCATATCTTGTTTCCATTCTTCTATTTTATAAATCAGAATAAATAGTTGGTACTGAAGGCCTTGTTCAATTTTTGAGCAGACAAATGCACAAAAACACAGATACATATTGCTAATGAATTCCCAGATCAATTTTTGTTTATGGTTAGACTACAGTACCTGGTGGACAGGCATGTACGAAATAGTAGTCTCTGGAGAGGAGCTTCTCAATGCTTCAGCAAGATTAATACATGTTGCTAAGCATTGAAACGGATCCTCTGCACCCAACCACCAGTGCCTTCCTTCGAGAGGTCTGTCTGCTGAATCGAAGATATCATCCAAATGATTCTCAGTAAATGTAATTCGACCCTCGTAGGAAAACTTGTCCACACCACCAGCATACAAATTCGCCATATGTATCTTGAGCCACTGTAAGCCAGACTTGCCAAGAGGGCGTTCCTCAGCAAACTCCAAGGCAAACAATGGTCAAAAATATGCAATTTCAACTAGTCACAAATTTTGGAAAGGCAAACAATTACAAACCAAAAGATATCTTATCTTAATCTGTCGAGTCATAGAATGATACATCAACTTGCAA